ATATAAAGTATCTTGTTAACACAAAAAGTAATTGTGTAATTAGAGTACAATGTAGAGCAAGATTTGTATTATCAGTTGTGTAGGCAGAGCATCTGTAGTGGTTGTTGTGTGTAATCGTAGTGTTAGTAGTAATCGTAGTGTAAGTAATGCTCGTATTGTAAGTAAGGTCAGTAGTGGTGTAAGTCATATTACATTGTAAGTAATGTAAGTATTGTAGGTAATGTTAGTATTGTAAGAAGTCTTAGTAGTGTAAGTAATGTTAGTATTGTATCCAATAGAAAAAAAAAGGAACCATTCACGCCAAGATAACTGCAAAATCCAACAGCACATCAGCGACTCGGCAAGATGTGGAAAAGGAGCTTGAGAGACTAGAGAGCTTAGACATTATCGAAAAGGTGACAGGCACGACTCCATGGGTGAGCCCCATCGTAGTGGTCCCAAAGAGTTCTGGAGAAGTCAGATTATGCATAGACATGCAAGAAGCTAACAAGGCGGTGAAGTGTGAGAAGCGCCTAATGCCAACCATAGACGACCTGGTTGCCGATCTAAATGGTGTGACCATTTTCAGCAAGCTAGACCTCTCCTCCGGATACCATCAACTTGCGCTAGAACCAGAGAGTCGCCACATCACGACTTTTAGCACTCATGTAGGTCTGAGGAGATACAAACGTCTGATGTTCGGAATAAACGCCGCATCAGAGATCTTCCAGAATGCAACTGAGGAAATACTCACAGGCCTACCAGGATGCAAGAATATCTCTGACGACATCATCATGTTCGGAGCAACTACAGCATAGCATGACCAGAATCTCTATGGTGTCCTGACCAGACTCCAACAACACGACATATGTCTGAACAAGGAGAAGTGTAGTTTCTCAGGAGTGAGGTCACATTCTACGGCCATATTTTCAGCAGCGAAGGAATCAGAGCCGATCCTGAGAAAATAGAGACGATCACGAACATGGGCGAGCCAGCGAATATGAGCAAAGTCAAGTCGTTACTAGGAATGGCCCAGTACGTTTCGCTCTACATCCCAGAGTATGCTACAATCACTGCACCGTTACGGGCTCTCCCCAAAAAGGAGACACCTTGGCAGTGGTCAGATGAACAGCAACATGCGTTTGACAAACTCAAGGACAGTCTGACTAAGAGTCATGTCATAGCATACTTCAATCCTGCTCACTTCAAGACCGAAGTGATAGTCGACGCAAGCCCTGTCGGTCTTGGAGGGTTACTAGCACAGAACGGCAAGGTTATCAGCTGCTCGAGTCGAGCACTCAGCGACGTGGAAACCAGATACTCACAGACCGAGAGGGAAATGCTAGCGATCGTGTGGGCTCTGGAACATTTTCATCTTTACCTTTACGGATCTGAGTTTACACTCGTGACGGATCACAAGCCTCTCCTAGACATCTTTAAGAGTCACAAGCCCATTTCAGCTCGCATGGACTGATGGAAGCTAAGGCTGATGCCGTACAACTGTCATCTTGTGTATCGGCCCGAAAAGGATGTTGAGAACCCCGCTGACTTCATGAGCAGACACCCAAACCTCCAAGCAACCGCAGAGAGAAACGTTGCCAATGAATATGTGAACCATGTCTGCACCAATGCCATACCAAAGGCTATGACACTTCAAGAGATTCAGGCTGAAACAGAGAAAGATTCCACACTCCAGTCACTGATCAAGGCGATCGAGACAGACCGCTGGACTGATTCTGAGATACTAGACTACAAAAGACTCAAGGACAAGCTACTGGTCTACAGTGGAGTGGTACTGAGAGGTAACAGAATCGTAGTCCCAAGCAAGCTGAGAGAAAGAGCTGTAGAGCTGGCACATGTGGGACATCAGGGCATCGTAAAGACAAAGCGTTTAATTCGTGAGAAAGTTTGGTTCCCTGGAATAGACAAGATGGTCAAAGATAAAATCGATAACTGCCTAGCATGCTAAGCAGTAACTCCAAGCAAGACATCACAAATTGAACCTCTGGAGATGACACCGCTACCTAGTGGACCATGGAAAATGCTAGCAATGGATTTCTTTGGACCATTCCCTTCGGGTGACTATCTCCTAGTTGTCATTGACAAATACAGCCACTTCCTGGAAGTTGAGATTGTCAAGTTCGTATCAGCCAAATCTGTTATCCTGAGGCTCAACGCCATATTTGCAAGGCAGGGAATCCCGGACGAGCTAAAGACCGACAATGGCCTCCCTTTTAACGGAGTTGAGTTCAGCAACTTTGCGAAGCATTTAGGATTCCATCACAGGAAAGTTCAACCTCTTTGGCTGAGAGCCAATGGCGAAGCAGAACGTTTTATGCCAAACCTTGAGAAGTGTGTGCGAACTGCTGTCGTTGAAGGCAAAAATTGGAAACAGGAACTGTACAAATTTCTCAGACAGTATCGTGCAACACCGCACACGACCACGAATGTATCCCCAAGTGAAGCACTCAATGGAAGAAAACTCAAGATCACCCTGCCAGAAGTATCACCAACACCAGCTAGAAAGCATACCCTGCAGGAGACTCAGAAGACCATGGCAGAGAGAGAGGCAGAACAGAAGTCAAAGATCAAGGCGTATGCAGACTCGAAACTGAACACAAAACCAAGCAATATCAAACCAGGAGATACAGTGCTTGTGAGACAAACAAAGAAAAACAAATTAAGCACACCTTTTAATCCAGAACCCCTTGTTGTAGAGGAAAAGAAAGGATCTATGGTTACGGCTAGCGACGGTTTCAAGTCCATAACGCGAAACTCATCCATGTTTAAAATCATCCCGAAAGATCTGAAAGCTGAAGGAGATCGCAGAGAACAGGAAGAACCAGAGGACTTCCCTGCTGAACAAGCCGAAGTTTCGACACGAGATGAAGATCCAAACCCCCAAGCACAAATGATGGAGGCCTGCRGAGGTCACAGAGACAGAGGAGACCCCCAGCGAGGCTTGCAGATTATGTTCAAATAATCTACTAGCATAAACACTGAACACTTTTAGAGACCCGTCACTAGAAGGCATGCTTATCGCTTGTTGATGTTATTGTAAAATTGTTTACCTAGTTAGTCGACATATATGATTGTAAGTTTATTGTCAAGGAGGGGAGAGATGTAGTGTTGTGACATCTGTCAATCATACGAGCACGTGGTCAGAAAAGGAGTTCATACTCCCCTTGTAGTCGGTGCGAGAATGTAGTCAATAAATCAGAGTTGAGTTTAACTTGCGGTGGTTTTCACTTAAACGGTACAACACCACACTTACCAATTCCAAAGAACTGTTTATTGGGACTGTGATTATGGCAAACTGTCAACATATTTTGCGTTTTGCCACATGCCAATTCCTGTTTTGTTTAAACCCCAGATCCTGAAAATACCCTTCCAAACCATGATGCACTAACCATTCATAGTTGATCATCTCGCAGCTTGACATTGGTGCCTCTATTCTTTAATAAAAGCTAATGGTCATGATCATACATTTAAAATGGAATTTCACAAAAAGGCACTTAATGCCATTGTTACCTACTGCTTTTCTTCACTTTTGCTAGATCGATGCTAACCGAGGGAAGACAGAGCATGATATTTGGAAGGGAAAATTTTCCGTTAGACTGCAGCAAATGGGATATGCTACATATGGCCATTAAGAAATGCCCAGAACTTGGGAAGGTAAACCAGAAGTGCAGAATTGCGGGAAAGATGGAGACTTGCATTTGTGTTTATTTGTCATCTTTCCTGTCTGAAATCAGGAAAAAATTTGAACAAGGCAAGGAACAGACCTGGCTTCTACATCTAGTTCTTAAAGATTTTCAAGTACCTCAACAGGAGTTACATTACGATACGCACCGGATGATTTTAAAATTACATCGGCGTTCAGTAAGTCCAAGTCATGATTGCCGTGAAATTGTAAAATCATTATTTGGGCTGATTATTTGAACACATTAAGTTGTTAAGAAAAAGAAAAAGGAAACTGATTTTTCCTTCGGTCAACACAAGATTATATGTTTTCCTGCAGTCACAGGTTCGAGTTGGCTAATATTTGACATTAGTATCACCCAACTAGTGGACTAATGCAAATCCTGCATTTTAATTGGCTACGCTACTAGAGGACTATTAGTAATAGTCATCGAGTAGCGAAATT